CATGCGTGCGGCCCGGGTTCGATCCTCAGCACCACATACCAACAAAGATGTTGTGTCCGCCGAGAACTAAAAATAAATATTAAAAAATTCTCTCTCTCTCTCTCACTCTCTCTTTAAAAAAAATTGTATTGGTTGTGATTTCTGTTTTATTCTGATACAATTTTTTTTATTCTAATTAGTTATACATGATAGTAGAATGCTTTTAGATACATTGTACACAAATGGAGCACAACTTCTTATTCCTCTGGCTGTACATGGTACAGAATCACTCCAGTAGTGTAATCATATATGAATATAGGATAATAATGTCCATTTCATTTCACCGTCCTTCCCATCTCCATAGCCCCTCACTCCCCTCTGCACAATCCAAAATTCCTTCATTCTTCCCTACCCACACTCCCACTATGGATTAGCATCCGCTTATCAGAGAAAACATTCAGCCTTTGGTTTTTTGGGATTGGCTAATGCCTTGTGATTTCTATTTCTGTAATTCTCCCTATAAACCAATCTGTCTTCTGCCTGATTTCTGCTGCTGATTTGCCCTAGCTATGAGGAGGGTGAAGATATAGAATGTGTCCTATTGCAGGTAGAATTTTTCTTCATTCAAAATTAAAGTTAAAAAAAACTCAAATATTGCTAAATCCTCCTATAAACAATCAGGAATCCACACAAAAGGGTTATACTGTGGATTCAAGTTTAACTTACTATTTATACACAGATAGAAAATTACAGAAATAATTGTAGATATGAATATGTTCATGAGTTAGTATATGTAATATATTACTTAACTCTGTTGACTGAAAGAGCCTAGCAGCAATGATACCCTAATTGCAATGGATATACCCTGTGCTCAGACTTGCTTTTTTTTTTTTTAATCCGTTTGGTACGGGGAATTGAATCCAGGGGTGCTTAACCATTAGGCACATCCAAAGTCCTTTTTACATTTATTTATTTATTGTTGGCTTTTTAAATATATTTTTTATTTGTTCTAATTAGTTATACATGACAGTAGAATGCATTTTTAAATATGTTTTAGTTGTTGATAGACCTTTATTTAATTTATTTATTCATATGTGGTGCTGAGAATTGAACCCAATGCCTCACACATGCTAGGCAAGCACTCTACCACTGAGCCACAACCCCAGCCCCAGTAGAATGCGTTTTGACACATCATACATAAATTAAGTATAATTCTCATTTTTCAGTTGTACATGATGTAGAGTTATATGTCATGTAATCATGTTTGCACATAGGATAATAATGGATTTTATTTTTTTGAGACAGGGACTCACTAAGTTGCTTAGGACCTTGTTAAGTTGCTGAGGCTGGATTTGAACTTGCAATTCCCCTGCCTCAGCCTCCCCAGTCACTGGGATTACCAGGATGTGTCAGCACACCTGGCTCAGAGCTTGGTTTCTTTTTTTTTTTTTTAAGAGAGAGAGAGAGAGAGAGAGAGAGAGAGAATTTTTAATATTTATTTTTTAGTTTTCGGCAGACCCAACATCTTTGTTTGTATGTTGTGCTGAGGATAGTACCCGGGCTGCACGCATGCCAGGCAAGCGTGCTACCGCTTGAGCCACATCCCCAGCCCTCAGATCTTGGTTTCTAATGCCATCTCTCATTAAAGGAATAGGGCTTCTAGAGAAAGAACTACTTCTAGACCCAGGACAGGGGAAATACAAAACAAACCTAGAGACCTGTAATACCAGAAAATAAGGAAGTACTCAAAAAAATAAAGGACGAGGGTATGTCCTTTAAAAATATGTTTTAAATAGCTTTTAACCTTGGAATAATTTTAAGTTT